ACAAATGACGTCAGTTAAAATCTGGCCAAAAATGACCACCCCTCCTCTCCTCCCTTCCCCCTTGTCATCTTCTTCCATCTTTCCCAAGACCCCCCCCCCCCACACCTTTTTTTTTTACCTTCTTTTCCTTTCTCTCATTTCCCTCCCCTTCCTTTCTTTTGTTTTCCCTATCTCCATTCTCACATTTCTCGCAGTAAATAATTGCATTATCCCTTTGTTGTTTTTGTTTCTTTTCATAATCTCTCTCCCTCTCCCTCTCTCTCTTTCTCTCTCTCTCTCTTTCTCTCTCTCTCTCTCTCTGTCTTTCTCTCTCTCTCACTCACTCTCTCATTCTCTCTCTTATTCTCTCTCTCTCTTTCTCTCTCTTTCTCTGTCTCTCTTACTTTCTCTCTCTCTTTCTTTCTTTCTCTCTCTCCCTGTTTGTCTGTCTGTCTGTCTGTCTGTCTGTCTGTCTGTCTGTCTGTCTGTCTGTCTGTCTGTCTGTTTGTCTGTCTGTCTGTCTGTCTGTCAATAAATATATGACTCTCCATCAACGAGGCCCTTTATACGTGCTTCATTGCTCCAACAATCCTAAATCGGATGTTTTGCTTTCTTAAATTTCCCCACCTGAATGCAGTGTTTGGGGGGAAATAGAATTCCATATAATTTCTTGAAAAAGAAAATAACTTCAGATCAGACGTTTATTATTTTATTTTTGAACATTAATTGTTGTTGTTTTTTTATCCACAGAATCTGAGCTGAAATGAGCTTGATGGAAGACAAACGATCACATTGAGTGACCCCGTGACCCCCAGCTCTTTACAAGTTTCGCTTCCTCATGCTTGTTTTGCATGAGTGAGGGGTATTAAACTTTGTCATTTATAACAGAACTCAATGGAGGATGAGGTAGCTGCAGGACGGGAGATGGCCAACAGAAATGCACAGTTAAATTTCTGTGACTGATGTTACTACCGACTGCCTGGTATTGGGATATGGATGATGTGATGCTGTTTCCGATAGGACGATATAGTTAATGTTTTGGTGATCGTTCCTTCTGGCTGGCCTGTTCCCTACGTTGTGTCCTTGGGAAAGGCACTTTACTCGAACTTCCCATTTGACTCGGTCTTTTCGGAGATGGACGTTAAATTCAGAGGTCCCGCCTCTTTAATAACATATCAGTGTTGATAGGGGCGTTAAATCTATACTATTTCAACACAACATCCATTTCTGGTCTGTTCCCACTGTGAGGCTGAAAACTTTTCTCATCGCTTTGTCGGAACGTACAAGTCAGCACAATGCTCCGGTTCAAACCCGATGCCCTGACCCCGTCGGGCAGTCCAGCAGGTGGCCGGGAGTTTGACCTCCGTGACCTCGAGGACTGCTTCTCAGAGGACCTTGACCCCCCAAGGTCAGGGATGTACTCCCAGAACAGCCCACCTACGGGGGTGAGCGCCAAACACGTGAGCCTAATGGAAGCGGAACAGGGCGTGAAAGCCGCGCTCTTCAACAAGCTGCTCGTGGACCAAGTCGTGTTTGACGAGCGACTGTTTTACGCCCAGACCGCGCTGTTTCTGGCCGCCGAGTACGACTCAACGGACGCCCTGGAGATTCTGTCGTCAGCCGGAGCCGATCTGGACATGGAAGACATGTTCGGGGAGACGGCGTTGTTCGTGGCAGTGGCTAGGGGAGCCACGGGGAGCGTGAGGTGGCTCATATCCCGCGGTGTAGACGTCAACCACAAGACGCCGGAAGGGGAGACGGCGCTACACATGGCCGCCATGACGTCATCAGAATGTGTGCAGATCCTCGTGGAGGCCGGCACCGAAGTGAACGCGCCCAAGACGAGGGGCGTGACCCCCCTCATGGTAGCAGCCGTCAACTGCAGCGAGGCCGTGGCGTGTCTAATTCAGCACGGAGCGGACGTAAACGCTAAGACAATATTCGGCGATACGGCGCTTATATACGCTGTGCGTTCGGGTAACGTGGAATCGGTGCGACTACTCGTGAGCCTCGTCGACGATATCGATTACGGAGGAAACACGAATCTCGGGTACGAGTTCGGATTCGTTAAGATGGACTCGCCGTTAGTGATCGCTGTGGAAGGCGGGAAATCGGAGATCGTTCGTCTGCTGCTGGAGAAAGGAGCAGACGTTAACAGTTGTGTGAAAAACACTCAGATACACGTTCTTCATTTAGCCGTCGGGAACCAAAACTCTTTGCTCGTAGAATCCTCAGCCGCCAACATTCCAAACTCTTCATCATCATCATCATCCAATAGCCGGAACCAGAATCCGAAGACTCGAAAAGACATCGTAAGTTCCCTTATCGAGCACGACGCATGTGTAGACTGCAGAGACAAGTTCGGCCAGACGCCATTAATGGTCACCGCCAAAAACGGTGACGTAGACATCATGGAGACGCTGATCGAGGCGGGCGCGGAGTTGAACGCCCTCAACTCAGCAGGGACTTCAGCGCTCTACCTCGCCGTGATCCGGCAAGAGGTACGGTCCATCGAGCTTCTCATGGCGCGCGGAGCTGTCGCGGGATTCGAACTCCATCAAGCCGTGCTGATGTCCGAGCGCGTGGTGAAGACGATGGTCGACTGCGGCGCGATGCCGGTGCTAATGCCATGCCGACGTCTGCAGCAAGACCGCGGGGTCACGCACCCGGTGACTCCTCTCTACGTCGCTCTCCGCTACGGCGCGCTCAACATCGCGTCCTTCTTCATCTCCCGAGGATTTCTGAGAACATGGGACCTCAAAGAGACGGCCAGAGACTATAAGATCATCCAGCTCCTCAACGAGTTTAAGTACTACAAAGGCGGCGTTCCTCCCAACCTCTCGAATCTCTTCGCTCTCCACGACCTCCAGTCGCCCGTACCCTGCTCGCTCTTCCTCTCCGCGTTCGTTCAAGTGTCCACGAGTCTCGGGTTCGGACCCGACCGCAAGGACAAGATCAAGGACACGGGACTCCCGGTGCCTCTACAGAGGAGTCTAATGTTCCAGGGACCTTTGACCTTTCCCCAAGACCAGGACACTGGACCAGTGTCGGATGTGTAGGGGTTGAGCTCTTCACCGTAGTGCCCAGAAAGCGTCGGTTCAAATCTCGTGAGGGGATGGTTTTTTATCAAGTACAGTCGAAATTAACCAATACGGCTACACATTGCCGAGGAGAAAAGAGGTTATCTTAGACAGGTGTATCTCATGGACAATCATGATAATGCCATTATAATATTATTTTTTTAAACGTAAGGGGGAGGGGGAGGTCGTTGTTTGTACAGGTGATTTCCTTGGGCAGACCGCTAAGAGGAGTATATAAAAAAATTATTTGACTGTATCTTCATCAGTCTGATGGGATGTTTAATACCAATCACCTCGTATAGATCGTTACAGGCTAAGTGGAAGCAGCCTACCTCCCAAATGATCAAAGTTGAGTCGATGGAGGCGAAAAACCTTTACAATTTCAATTCCAGGACGATGGGTCAAGAGACATGAGATGGAACAGAACGGGCGAAAACAAAGAAATGTATACAACAACAGCTTCATGATCACGATGACGTACCAGTTGGATATTTCATACATATACGGAAAACGCATTTACTTGAGGCGGACAACACTTTAAAACATTGGACATTACTCATATTTTTAGACTGAACACTACTCATTTTCATATCATACTGAGGAAACAATGACATCATTGTGGCGTCGGTGGTCTAGTGGTTAGGCTCTCGGACTCGTAACCGTAAGGTCGTGGGTTCGAATCCGGTAAGGGACCCGACGTTGTGTCCTTGGGAAAGGCACTTTACACGAATTTTCCTCACTTCACCCAGGTGGGAATGGGTACCCGGCTATAGACAGCGAAAGATCTT